GCCTTTTTGATTAATGTATCTTTTTCCTTAAGCCAATTGTCCTGTATATTTGGTAATGCTGCTGCAACTTTCTAACCATAACCTTCTGCTACATGCAGAGTAAATATTCAGTTTGCTGCTACCTCACAGGCTTTTTCAATATGAATCATAACCTCAGAAGAACTCCTAGATTCTTTTGCTAAATCAAGCTCTGTCCCAATTGTATGTAGTGAATCATACTCATGTTGGTCTCATGATTTCTTAAATTTACAAGCTGGCCATGCTTTATTTATTTTAGCTCTATAACATGTATCTTGTACTTGTATAGCTACCAAATTTAGTCTATTATTGAAATTTGTCATCACATTTTTCAATTTTTTTAAATTCAGATAATACCAAATTTCCTAATAGGTTATCGAATTCCATTTCCTAATAATGCTATTTGTTTTAGTTAGTACATTCTTCAGTATTTGCATAAGAGTTATTTGGTTCTGCAATCTCATTTAACAAGGGTGGTTGCTTAAATTTCTTTTTCGTTTAGTAAGCTAGTTCCTTTAAAGATTGTGCTACTGAATCAATATTGAAATCATCCATCTCAATCACATGATATCCTTGGTCATCAGCATCACAATTTCTCAGGCTTGTTTCACCAGTTTCTTTAACACTATTTGGGTTTTGGCCTACTTCGCTTAAAAGTTGTTTTAATTTTTGTACTAGGTCTACTTTTACACTATCGGTAGACACACCAAATGCACAGCAAAGTTTTTTCAAGTCTCCTTTAGATAAATTTAACTCTAACATATTTTTTTAAACATTTCACTTCCAGTTTTGTTTTTGTTTTTTGTTTTTTTTTTTTTTTGTTTTTTTTATTGTTGCCTAATGTTTTTTAGTTAAAAAGCAGAAGAAAAATGTTAGTGTGAAAAAATCTAATAATAAAGCAATATAGACACATATATGAAAAAAGCCAGATCAAAGTTAGGCAGTGAAGAAAAAAGTACTAAAAAATCTACAATTATATTTTTAGCCCTAATTTATACCTTTATGTTTCAAATATATCACAATATCATCATAGATTCGAAATGAAACAATGGGTGACGATCCTCATGATAATAACCTTAGTATAACTATTGTTATGCGTCAGGTCAGAAATGTCCAAAAAGTTCTGAAAGGAAAATAAATGAACACAAAATACGAGCAAGGTTTAGCTTGGAAAATATCCCCAAAAATACAAGATATTTGGTATAATAATTTATAGTGTTGGCATTATTTAAAGTTAATAAATATGTGCATATAAAAATAATTTTATATACAACTAGTAGTATGTTTGTACAATCAAAGCCTATAACACAGCTGCATTTGTGCATATAAGTTTTGATCTAAATTTTAGAATTTTAAATACTCTATTAGAGTATTCTAGCCATGGTGAAAAAAAGTTCAGGTCACATGCTATAAACAGCCAATCAAAATATTCT